CTATCTCAATTCACCAATTTTAGAAAAGTATTAAATGACCACAACGAAGGTTTAAGGGAACTTTATATCACCCCAACATTCACGTGCCAAGGGTTGGCATGTGGTCTTCCTCTAGCCGTCAACTCTTGTCAAGCGCGGTATTGTGGTCTTGTAGGACGACCCAGTCCATCTACTCCTTCGGGCAGAAAACTTATTTGTGAGGATTTTTTGAATTTAAAATTTTGGAAATTACTTGAGAATAAGGATGATTATTTTCAAAAGAAAAAATTTGAATTTTAAGTTTTCTAATACTTATAATTCTCACCCACAAGAAATTGAACGCTCTTGATTCTATCTTAATATATAATCTTTTTTTAGTGCATAAAGAGTGTGATATAGAATTTTTATTTTTTGAAGCTGGTCTATGGCATGACGATATTACATCCCCAAATATTAGGATCCTAAAATTATTATTAGATTAGGTCTTACCAGAGAGTAAATGGACATTATTCTCCTATAGGAGCATGAAATCTTTTGGCTTAGAATCTCTAAGGATGATATGAAGTTTTCTACCGTCGTTGCACTCCTCGTTCACAACAGTTTTTTTTAAAATTAGAATCTGGCTCGGGAATCACTAATATGGACGTCCAAACTGACTTTTCGTTGTTGAAAGCAATTATCAATCTGGGTCTTATGGATATGTCGGGTTCCGTTAAGGAATTGGACGAAATTATTGAAAAACTGGGCGATTTGGATCGTTTTCCACATCTATATATTTTTTTTCTTTCTTTTATTATTATTTTTATTTTAGGGACAAATCCTTCGTTGATCCAAACTTGGAAGGCAGTTCATCTGGCTTCACAAAACATTTTAATATTTTATCTCAAGTAGTTTTTTTAAAAACCCAAGGATTTCTAATCCAGATCGTTGATCTAAATGGGAGTGGGTTGTGACCAAAACGGTTTCAGGATGGTATGGGTCTTGGACTGGCTCCTCCCCAAAACCCCACCAAGATTTTTTTTTCTTTATTTTTAAAGTTTTTTTTTTTTTTGGTCCCCTCTAAATCGCAACCTATAAACTCTTGTTTATTTTTTATTTTAGTTTATTTATTTTTAATATTTTTTTGAATCACCGTTTCAAACCAATCCAAACCCGATCTTGAGGATCATCACTTCAAAGATCCAATATAGATATGTGGGTGAACAATCTGCCCACCCATACAAATTTTACAACACTTTTCTCGTTAAATGCCTAGATGGTGTCTGTCACATTCTAAAAATGCGTAGTCATGCATGGGATTTTCTTATGGTGAAAATCCTTCTCAACTTGATATTTCATTAGAAAATTTCTTTTGCTTTGTATACGCAATGAGATCATTTATCTTTGGTATAAGACGGTCCCGATTAATCTTAACTATTGGATGTGAAACTAAGTGGTTGCATTTATTCTATTGACCAAACTTAAAAGTTCAAATAATTTTTTTTCACGCTTTAAGACACATCTAAATAAAATTATAGATAATTGTGACTTCTTTGTACCAAAGAAAAATGGTCTCATTGTACGCAATCCGGAAATGCAAGGTCCTTTAACAGCTAAAAAAAACAGATTATTACATTGTTGTAGCCTTTTTCTCGTAGAATGCATCATTAACTTTGCCCCTCATTTTCCTATTTTGGGGCATGATATGAGTAGAGCGTTCATGTGTTTTGACCTTTTTCCTTTACCTAAAAATTTCAATAATTCAAAAGACCTTAGTCAAAGATATGTCGGGGAATATGATGCCACTTTAATAGGCGGCAGGCTACCATAACCAATTTTTTAAGAAATTTATATATAAGTTTTGTTTTATTTTAGATATTTAAAAATAGTTTCATGTATTTAATAGTTTACTATTAAATCTCATATATATATATATATATATATATATATATATATATATATACTATAACTATACTATTAGGTAGCCGTTTACTTAATAACATTATTCGATCCATTATTTGACGTTAAGAAAATAGTATAAATCCATTTATTTTTACAACATGTGTCTACCTTTTAACTTTGGTTTAATGATTAATATAGATATAGACAACTATGAAAGTATCAACTATATTGTTCTGATAAAAAGATTGAACTGGAGTTGCAAATGAGATAGAAATTATCTCGAGCTTTAAAAATTATGTGAAGTTTTGCGTTCTTAGTCTCCTATTTTGTGTTGTATAAGAGTTTTGTGATGGTCTCTAAAATCTTTCCAAGTAATTCCAAGTAAGGAATTTGTCAGATAATCGTGAGTATATCATGTTCCCAAACTGATTCGTTCATAAATAGTAAGAAGAGGCATTGTTTAGGTCGGACCGGTGCTTCAAAATTAAATTTGATGATCTAGTCTGGGAATTGCTTTTTTGGATCAGGAATTAGTGGGATCAATCCGGTTCTTAGTCAAAATCGATATGAATCCCATAAACTCGCCCAGTTCAATCAAAGAACCAAGTGATCTAGATTGCTTGAATCTCCCTGTTGATTTTTTTTTTACTATTTTTTTTTAAATAAAAAAATTATCATTTATTTTCTTGGGACCAATTCTCGCACCTTAGAGTTGATCCAATTCACCGAACTAGATCGCCTGTTCACCAATGTAGACAGAATTTCTAGAAAGCTAGGTTGCCCGATTAGTCTAGTTTTTAAAACACTAAGTCACACTATCGCTTGAGAAACATGGAATTACTCCACCCATCCAATGAAACAAATCACCATAGTTACAAAACAGTCCAAGAACAGCCCAAGGTCATCATCATAGAGTATTTTCTCAACTATTTTTGGTTGGTTGATGCGTTAGTTAACCTTTGCTCATTTCTCATTGTATTCAAGTTTCGATATAACACGTCATTTATGAGGAACACCCCAGCATGCTTAGATAACGTAGATTCATGATTCATAAAAAGTTTTAGCAAAGTCTTACATTAATTGTCTATCTAACACAACCCACCTCTTTTATCCAGGCTTGGGATATGTTACAAAAAATTTAAGTCCCTACAGACTGAAGATCTGCCCTAGGTAACCAATAAAATTTCTTCAAAAGACGCTTGCTCAACCATCCACAATACTCTAAAATCTCTCTCTCTCTACCCTAAATCTCTCTCTCTCTCTCTCTTTGGATATTTAACGGTAACTTTTCATTGATGGGATGAAAAATTTACAAGAAACAGAAACAAAAGAGGAAAGCAATAATGGAAAGAAGAAAAAAGAAAGCACTAAAACTGCCCTACTCCTTTGGCAATAGCATCAGCACATTCATTCCTTTCCATATGAACATGAATAAAGGATACCTCTCTCACTCTCACAGCTAAAAGTCACCACCCAAAGGTTCTTAAAATTTAAAGGACACCTCTCTCTCTTTCTGCTGAAAGTCCCCACCCATTCAAAAAAGGTTCTTAAATTTTAGTTTTCTTTTTGACCTTTTTGTTGAGATCCTCATCATTGTGCATGATATCTTCCAAGCAACTTACATGTGAGATGCCCTCACCCTTCGCTCAATGATGCATGAACCCTACGTTTCAGTACAATTTTTTTTTTTTGAAATGGTAAGAATAATATTCATTGGATAGTGGAGCAATACACCTAAATATAAAAGTACAAGACGAAGAAATAGGGAGGAGCACACTTGAGATCGTATACGTTTCATTATATTGAGAAGGCAAAGAGAAGGGACGCTTTCGGTGTGATATCCTAAAAAGTTCTATAGCCAATAACTCTTAAAATAGCCTGAAAATATGTTTCTATCTTTAATTATAAAATTTAAAATTTCTAGAATGATTCAAATTGAGCAGATCTATAAACACCTAATAATAGATAGCCTAGATTGTGTGTCACAATATGATCTATTGTTAAGGCTCAAAATCATTTTCTTTTTCATATACAAATATCTTGATTTTGCGATGATCAACTGGAAGATTTTTAACATCAGAACAAATTTTTCAAATGTTTTTCTGAAGTGCACCTCATTTCTATAATATTATAGAAAATTATAAACTTTTTTCTTCTATGAAAAAGTCCACCTGCCTTCCCAAGCTTTCTATTCGAGATTTGATGATTGATTATTTATTCCCCCTAGACTTGTCTAAACCGCGGTTATTTAGCATCACTAGCAAAGCCGCATTAGATCATTAGACGCAAATACTGTTGAGAGATGAACAATTTAACACTTATATCTTTTGATTTAATTTCGAAATACCCATTAAAAAAAACCATGTTCTTGAGTTGAAACAGTTGCAAATAGAGAACATGTTAAATACCTCATATGTTATAGATATTTAGATAAATTATCCTCTATCAAAATACACTTAATTTTCTAACACTTTAGTAATTTACCATTTTTAAATTATTCCAACTTATGGTCATAAGTAATTTGATGGGTTTTTAAAATTATAGTAGAAAATATGAGTAAACTAGTAGATAGTCGATCTCTTATATATAATTTGATAAATTTTTTTATTATAAATTAACCAAAAAAAGAAAAAAAAAAGAAAAGAAAAGAAAAGAAAAGAGGGGACCAGTCTAAGTTCCTCGAACAACTTGACAAGTACATTGGGTCATCTTTCAAACTTTAAAGTCGGATAAGGCTTAGGTGACCTTTTATTAACTTTTTAGTAGGGGTTGGGAACGTGCCGGCCCGGCCCAGCCCTGACAAAGACCCGATCGGACTCTAAGTTATTAGATCCAGATCCAGATAAATTGGACGCAACTGGACCCAAATCCAACCTAAAAATAAAAAAGCATATATTTAAATCTATTTAAATGTTATGTTAAATACATACATGTATTATTCAAATATCATAATTATAAATATATAGTTATATTTATTTAAAAATTACATATTAAATATTATTTATATAATGACACTATTTAGGTCGGGTCCACGTGGACCCAAGGCCAAATAGTATTCAGGTCCAATAGTTGGACCTCGACCCGACCCGACCCGCCACCCATACCCGGATCCGGATCCGTGTCCATTGCCACCCCTGCTTTTTAGGTAACCAAAAGACAAAAATAACCCTATCTAACTTTGAAGGAGAAAAACACTAGAATAATCACTACTCTTGAAACCTCTAGCCAAGGAATGCGTTGGCTAGTCATATAAATAGTGGGTATCAAGGTGTTTCTCTTATTTAAGTTAGTGTGAAGACGCAACTAGCACGGTTTCGTGATCTGTGTTTCAAATTTGACAATATTAAAAGTGAAACCAAGTTGGATTAGCCTGCTTGAACTGACTAATTTTTATTAACTCATTGAACTTTAATAAGAAAACATGAAATACACCAACTCTTTTACGAAAGGAAAAAGTCTATAACATAGAAATAAGGATAGCCTTAAAAATTCATAGGAAAAGATTGTTATGATGTTAGAAACACCTCTAATTGAGCATCTTGAACTCGAGATTTGTAGAATTGAAAAAATGATTTCAAATCCTCAAACTAGTTCATAATGATTTCAAAATAGTTCAAAATAGTTCATAATGATTTCAAAATAGTTCAAAATAGTTCATAATGATTTCAAATCCTCAAAATAGTTCATAATGATTTCAAGCACCAAAATCTTAAAAACATACGGTCTAAATAATGTGTTGCAATAGAAGATATACTATTTTTGAGATTTAAAATCTTCTTCTTTTATATATATATATGGTCATACATCTAAATGTGGAGATGATTAATTAGATAGTTTTCTAATGTAAAAAAATAACCCTTTTCAATGGAATTTCGAGGTGCCCCTTAATTCTACAGTTTAAGATGTCAACCTTATATGACTTTTTCTTTTTTTTAATTGGTCAACTGGGTGTGTAATTTAGGGGACCAATTCTACAATTTAACGATAAACTTTTTCCGGTTCTTAATTGGTCAATTGGGTTGTGTAATTCAGGGGACAACTAAGCTATCTGGCGACACCGTGTGGCTAAGTCTAAGATTTGGGAATTTCAGTTATTTGTGGTCTGAACTTGCATCCAAATTAGGGTACAAGACAAACTTGGTCGGGACATGTTTGGTTAATCTTCCTTGCTCTTTCTTGGGAATTAGGTTAGGGCATTTTTGGCATTGATTTGTAGAGCCAAGGCGTTTCTCACTTTGTCTTCTCTTCAAAATTTGAACTTCTCATTATCATTGAAATGGAGAATTTTTCTATTATGTTAAGTTTATAGAAAATTATAGATATCCTTTAATTTGTATATTTCAAACATGCATTTCTTAATATATTTTTTTAATACTTTTGATACCATACTATGAATTCTAACATTATTTATTTTTGCATCTACCATCAGTCAGAAAAGTTGATTTTTTTTAAACCAAAATATCTCCTATTTTAACTATGTATCCTAAATGTGATGCCAACATGTACTAGTCTAGCACATTTTGTACCGAACCAACTTTTGATAAAAAATACCGGACCAGCTTAAAAAGAGAAAGTGGGAAATGTGGATTAAAATGCCAGTATTTTGGTAAAACAAAATCAACCTTTTTACTTAAGGAGGTGGATACAAAAATAAACAATTTTAAAGTTAATAGTGTAATATAAAAAATATTAGCGGGGTCATATGCCTAGAAAGTCCAATTTAAAGGTATCTATAATTTTCCAGAAGAAAAGATGATCTTCACTAAATTGCAAATATCAAATATTGGAAACAGTGGTCAGGGGTCTAGGGGTGATAATTAAGTGGGGTGTGATGTAACCCCATCTTTAGGTCCGGCCAAGTGGATCCAACTGATCAGGTCCATATATGATCAACTGGAATCCATTCAAGCCTACGTTGCGTCCGGGTCCAGGTTCTGGCCCATGACCCTAACAGGTCAGGTGACCCATTTACTAGACTAGCAATGCCATGTTGAAAAGTGTGACCTTTTGGCCAAATGAGAACCATCATTTCCTATAAGTTGGTGCACTATATAAAGCATGACTACTATTTATTCTCTTGAAATGACACAGCTAATGATAATGTAACTTCTTTCCCCAAAAGCAATGGCGTAGTAACTATTGGGAGCTATAAACCATTTCTAGAAATTTCTAATGTGGCACATGATTGGTCATGATAGGTATCTCTCAAAAGAAAAGGGTAGGTCAGCTTGGCTTATTTGTAGCATAAATGTTAAAGGTTAAACCCATGATTTTAGAATCGACACGGTTTCTACGTGTACATGTAGAAATGAGTCATCTCTTAAAAATTTATTTTAAGATATAGTTTTGGATTTAATTTTTAAAGACATAATTTCTAACATGTAGATCATGAATATGAAATAAATAAATAAATTTTGAAAACTAAAAAAATAATTCTATCAAGAAAGCATTTGGATCGTTAGTTTCAATTGTTTTTAGATGGACCACCTATTTGTATCCATCTTTAAGATGGACGAATTATACTTCGGGAATAGCAAATGTAGAAATATGGTCCCTGTTGCATGAAACAAATTTCCTTTTAGGATATCAGATTTCCAAAGCAACATGCGTACAAGTCTTTTTTGCATGGGTCTTTCAACAAATATCACCAGATAATAGGTTATATAAAAAAATAACAGCAGTTATTCTTGTTATCATCATCATCAGAGCTTTTTCTCAACTATTTAGATAATAACCATCATTAAGTTAACTATTATAATGTCATTACGCTATTCTTAAAAACTCAATTGAACTTTATTGTCAAAAAATAAATAAATAAAAAGAAATTTGAAGATTATTTGGTCTTCTAAGAGGATATCTTACATACCCTAAGGTTAGATCTTATCTAAGAGTATTTGATGAGACCCAAATTGGGACATAACGTCCCCAACTTAACAACAAGCTTAAAAGTACGAAATTATATGTCCCCTAAAGACTCTGGCTCTCCCTTTTTGGAACGTGAGATCTAGGTGTTAAGAACTTAAAATTTATTATTTTTTGAAAATAATTAAAATGGATCCCAAACTTTCGAATCAAAGTATAATCCAAGGAGTTGTAATTGCTCTAAAGAGTAAGTATACAATATAATCTAAAAAGAGATTATAGAGCTGGCCATAGGCCCGGCCCTGAAA